GGTAGTCTGTTAAGGGCTGTTGGTGAAAATGAAGGTGTCTTATATTCGTTTACAAACAAAAATGTCAGTAAGATTTAAAAAAAATAAATGATGAAGGCTTGGAAACATTCAACAATACGAAGCGGGAATAAAATCAGAAACCACAGATTCATATAAATATACTTAATAGAAAAAAATATGTGGAATACACCGTTTGCTGACTAAATAGTTTACTTATAAAGTACATTTAAAAAAACTGACTTCCAATCCCTCTTTCTTGAATCCAGTTAATTAATACTAAATATTAAAACATTCTCTAAAGTGTAATTAACACTTTACTGACAACCGATTCAAAATCGGTTCAGCCAATCGTACACAAACATACATACATTCATACAGGTCAACCTCCTTTTTTGAAGTCAGTAAATAAATAAAACTATGTATTCATAATAAAATGTGGGAGAGCCATGCTTCGGCACGAATGGGCCGGCTTGACCGGAGTGATACCACGGTCTCACAGAAAACCGACGTGAAGCAACGCTTACGTTGCGTTTCGTCGTGTGAGTGAGGTTACCGGAGGCCCAATTACCTTCCCCTTCCTCAACGATCCTCTAACTCCTAATCCCCAAAAAGCCGGTGACGCACTTGTAACGCCTCTGGTGTTCCAGGTGTCCATGGGCGACGCCGATTGCTTACCATCAGGTGATCCGTCTGCTCGTTTACCGGCTTATGCCATAAAAGAAATAAAAATTATAGACATGAAAATATATCTAGAAAGAACAAGATCGCACTAGGTACCTATTAATTCTTTGCTTACTGAAAGAAAGAAAATAATTTCTACATTTCAGTTTGACCTTTACAAGCAATAAGTTTCAGGCGCTGTAATATTTATGTAGGGATAATAAAAATTTCTACTTTATTTTTGCTCTTTCAGTGAATGTTTGGTGGTTATTTATGAAAGCAAATCATGTCCAATGTCCACTAGTGTTTTGTATTTGTGAATATGTCTATAGGACAAATGTTAAATAACGGGTTAGTTTTAAATACGTAGCTGTTCATTTAAACCCTTCAAAAATATTTATGGGGTGTTATTAATTTGCTGAATTTACGTTATGTCAGTGTGAAAAACACGAAACTTAAATTTTAAGTGTTTTAAGGTAATATTACACTAATTAACTTTTATTATTGTTTAAATCTTTTATGTTTTTAAAGCAATACAGATTAATGAGGTACATGCATGTAAAACTATATAACTAAAAATTTTCTTAACAAATAAAATAAAAGATAAAAGAAAACTAAAAGAACTATTTACAAAGGCGTCAACAAATTCGTCGGCACCGATGTCAATAGGGAAACTATCCAGAAGGCTGGCATCTAACTAAATTAGACATTAATACATACCTCTGCTTACCCCTTGAAATACATTATATTAACATAACAAACTAATAAATTAGTAAACAATAACACGATTAAGTTAACAGCGTTACTTAACAGCCTTCGACACGGCAGCCATGTTTGTAGCAAAAACGTAATCGGTCATCTTGCATTCCGGACGGGTGCGCAAGCGCCGCTGCTCGCATACTGACCAGTTGCGATACAGATTAGCGCCGCCAGTAGGGGATCGATGATGAAGAGGAAATTTTGAGACTATGTAGTTACATTGGTCATAGAGAATAAAATTTACAACTTTTCTTGTCTATTACACTGATACATTGACTGCCTTGTTGGCCGAGTAGTCGCAAATGTGACTGCCGGGCAAGGAGTCTTGAGTTCGATTCGCGGGTCGGGCATTATGTTATTATGAGTCCCATGTAAGATAGGATGAGCCTATTGCCATACACCGGGCACAATTACAGACTCCATGCTACTACTGAGAATTTTTAAAATACGCACTAAGACTTTGCCCGACCCGGGAATCGAACCCGAGAGGTAAGGGGTTACCCGGCAGTCGCACTTGAGACCACTTGGCCATCAAGACAGCTATCATAATTAATTTTCGCCAATACCGTGAGAATTACCACCGTTATCGGCTAAATATGATCATGTCACGTGACGATAAAATATTGGCAGCCATATTTATTTTGTGCGTGTTGTATAAATAAACAGTCATATTTCAAAAAATATCCCATAAATTAATGACACGTCATACTGCCCCTACTCGCGCGTGCCCGTGGCCAATGCGCTGAGCTGCGCGCACGCACGTTGCAGCAGCTCTTATGCTAATACACTACACAATAAGTACTTAAAACAAGGTACATATTTTTTGATGTTTTTGTGTAGTTTGTTATTTATTAGGGGTAATTTAGTTTGTTAAGTTTTTAAACTTGTTTGAGTCAAAACCTAAATATATTTTCGTTGGAAATGGTGTTAGAAATCGCATCTTTAAAGTAAAAGCGGTATTAAACGAAAATATTCATGAATTCCATCTAACTACTTTAGGGTTTTTAAAAAGTCAATACTCAATTAACTAAAAATCGTGGGTTACTCACGTGAATATACTGCGAAAAGCTCTACCAGTAGGCTGCGCAACATATCCGCGACCGCGCACGCTGCTCATGAGGAAGAACCCCTCTGTGGTTCGAAACTAGTAGCGCTTTTCTTAGTTTTTTACACGAGTAACTCGCGATTTTTAGTTAATTTAGTATGTCTCACGATAGTTATTATAAACACAGTGAATACTCAATTTACGAATTTTTACTACTAGGTTTTACTATAAAGGTGTCATATGTTGTAATGGTATTCAAATTGGAATAATTTGGTGCAAAAATTAATCAGCTTCTCATAGACCATGTATAAGTGTAAGTAAAGCCTATGTTTTTAACCGACTTCAAAAAAGATGGAGGTTCTCTATTTGACCTTTAGGTATATGTATGTACATATGTTTGTGTACAAATATCTCGCGATTGACTGAACCGATTTTGATGCGGTTTTCACTAAATGGTTTATTTCGAACTTAGGAGAAGATTTTAGTATATTTTTTTTTACTAACCGGCTTTAAAATAGAGGGCGTTCAAGTGGTTTTTTAAACGTAGCTTATAGAGGAATTATTTTTTAATTATTATTTTACTAAGAAGTTTTCGAAAAACCGATAAACTGTCAATAGTTCTTTGCTTTATTATTACTATAAGAATTATGTAACAAATAGTTTGTTCTCCTTATACAATTATTCTTTACATTACCCATTATTAAGTCAGCATCTCTGTTATTATATATTCCGAGTCGACCTTTCACCTTGCATGTTGATTCCCCATCGAATTTGGTAACAGTCGTGTGTTCAATTTTATAAGCTATAGGTATACGACGCTTACACAGCTTACGCTTAACAGATTGAAGATTTTAACCTTTCGTAAGGTGCTTTCTCAAACTGTAAACAAGGGTTTTGGCAACATTGCCATTTATATTTTATTTTCTTCTATTTTCAGAGTAATAATGATATTATTTTAGTATGGTAGCTATCAAAATGATGTCTGTATCTAAGAAATAGAGATTGTAGAGAAAAACCTTTTCTAAAATGTTACTATTTAGAAATGATATATTATCTTAAATATCACGTACAGCACGCAAAAAGAGAGCAAATAAAATCTTCACGATAGACAGACAAACGACGCAAAAAACTAAAGAACAATCAACCGTTTCGAACCAACCGCCATTTCAAACTAAATTCGAATACACAATATTTTTTATTCAAAAAACAATATTCTTAATAAAAACGTATCATATTTCGATATTGAAAAAAGAACGACATCTTCGAAGAAAAAATAAAAACGCACATTCAAAAACACTGGCCGGCTAACCGAACAATTTATATTTTTATAACAGTAATTCATACGAATACATTTATGTTGGCAATACTTTTATACGAAAAAAACACTTTATTTATCCGAAAGGGTCACTTTTAACACACCTCGGAGTATAAATGGTGATTCTATTCAAAGTATGGAAGGAGAAGAATATATTTTGAATAACATTATGCCAAGTGTTTCAAGGAAAGGATTTTGTATCAATGAACGGACTGTCCGACAGTTTTTATTCAATGTTATAGTTTTCTGAAGTACATTTCGTTCAACGGCTGTTTTAAAATAATGTTGAGTGTGGCAACCCCGGTGTAGGGTTGCCAACATTTAAATAAATTGTTGGAAAGTACATTGCAAGATGCGACTTTATTCTAATATGCATAGGGTTTACAGGAGACTTTAATATTTAGTTTTATCTTTTTGAAATGGCTCGCCAAAGTACGGGCAGCTGTGTATTACCTGGGAATCTAGTGTTTTACAAACATACGTAAACTTCATGTTCACAAAACAACAAAATAAAAATTCTAATCTTTAAGACACAACTTCTATACAAACTAAACAAATGTTTATACAATATTCCGACAATTAACATTTCAACTACGTTGTATCAAAAGTTGTGCCACAATACTCAGGATAACAGGGTTGGCCGTCATGTTAACCAATTTCACCCACAGGGGATTTCGAATTTCAGTTTTAATAACTACTATAACTCTATTAAACCCTGTTTGCCCGCTGGCCAGTAATGAAAAAGGCGTCAAGGGATGATCTTCGCTAGTTCATCCCAAAGGTCGAAATTCCGGTCCATTGAACAATAATAGGGGCAGCCCTAACACGTGTATGTGAACTTAGTATTTATGTATGTATGAGTGTATCGTATTTTCTCTAAATAAGTTCGGACTGTAGGTTTTCGGGTGGAAAATATGTGTCGTTGGATTGTTGATTTTTATACAATCATGATATCTTTCACAGACAGTTATTGGAACATGATGTACTTATTTCAAAAAGTGGTAGACAGAGGTGTTACATTAGCAATGTAACTCTCCCATGTACTAAGGGAGTGTAAAGTTGACAGTATGACAGTAGTCACATGACAGTTTGTTTATCATAATTACATGATAAATTAATTTTACAGGTGTATGCGAAATTGATTACAGTTTAATGTAATACGCATTTACAGTCGATAATACAACCAGCAAGTATTAAAAATTAGTAAAGAGAAAAACTTACCTCGCATATCTGTTGATCTGTTCTTCGTCTCATTTCAATCTGCTACAAAGATCTGGAAATAACGAGAAATAACTAGTTAGATTCACGTTATGAAGCGGTAAAAACTAAAAAGAACCCTTAAAATCAATTTTACTCGACAAGGATTTCGTTTCTAGGGAAATAAATTCTATATTTAAGTAATATCGTGTATAGGTAACGATTTGACCCGATATTTTTCACTCTCTACTCTTGTAATCTTACTCATAATTAAATAGATCGGACTAACTTACCTGTGACGTCCGATCCTCAATTGTGTAGGTAGCGTCATCCTCGCTAATTATACTAGTAGTAGGCACTAATCTGGGCACGCTGTCACAATATTTAAAGATGAACACATTCATAAAAAAAAATATTTATACTCTATGGTCATCTCACTGGCAACATCATTTACTTCAAAGCACCTGCAACTGCAACACAACTCGACCAGGGGTAAAAATAAACATGTTTATTATCCGGGAAGGGTTGGGACCTAGCGAGGATGACGCTACCTACACAATTGAGGATCGGACGTCACAGGTAAGTTAGTCCGATCTATTTAATTGTATAGGTAGCGTCATCCTCGCTAATTATACTAGTAGACGTTCAAAGAAGGAGTTGTGTTGACAAACAACACTGTTTAATCATTGAACATTGTTGCACTTAAACAAGATATATGACATTGTCAATAACATCAATATCTCACGAGTACTATATAGTACTAGTAAAAACTTAAGCAATAATCAAATTACGTTTATAATTTCCCCAAGATGTAAGCCACTAAACCATTATTAGATATAATAGCTACTTATGGTTATGGTATTGTTTTCAATCATTTTTATCAAATAAAAATACTTATAAAATTAAATACATTTTAAAAATAGTATTAAAAATAAACAGAAGCCCAAAGCACGGGTTATCTTAGTTTGGGTTCCTGACTTTCATCATTGTATTGTCAGGTAAACTGCATTAACCCTATGTAGAACCAAAGTGAAGTGAAGAGAAGAAACAAGCTTATGTCAATATTATAAGATTAATATTAAGATCTACATCATTATGTATTGTGATGGAAAAATAATTAAATGTCCTTATTTATTAATTTAATTATTTAGTAAGCATAGCAACAATATTATTATCTTGAAATTCTGGTGTCCACTACACCAACTATAGGTACACCTACTATGTACGTTTTGAACTATAACGTTGTTCAAATTCAGTCTATTGCGAAAATTTAACGTCTTTCAATAGGTTGTTTTCTTCAAAATTATCAGTTTCTTTTTTTTTTTTTTTTTTTTTTTTGTATATATATTATCTAACTTCTCCATTTTCAGTAGATCTACATTATGATCATGACTCCATACATAGTGATATACAGAGCTAATAAGCTCATGCAATATTAGGATTGTTGGTGGAAAAATGGATTGACTGACCAGGCAGTCGTCTTACTTAAATATATGACTTTGATACTGATTGATACATCTCTGTGAGGCTTTAGAAGAGGTTGAGAGTCCACTGTTATAGTACTAGACATACATTCACTTGAAATTGTAGAATATGATTGATCCCAGAACAATGATTTAAAAATTGTTCTTAAAAATAAAAAATAGTAGGTAGGTAGGTACTATTAAATATGGTTCAGGTTTATTGGCATTATCATTTAGGTACAATCTATAGTGATAGAGATAGTGTGAATTATATGTGCTAATTAATTGATGTTTTAAACTAAAGTTTTAAGCTAAGATTATCATTGGAGTACATACAGGTACATAATAATATTGATTTATTTAGATTGTCATGTACACAATACAATAAAGTTACGGTACATGGTGAACTTGATTCCAAGTGGCATATTCTACCAGTAACCCTCAGGGTTTTAAATAATAATTGTAATAATACACAATTATGTACCTATTTTAGAATAAAACTGGAACCGCACACCACATATTAAAGTTTCTTTTTCTTTTTGGCCTTAATTTGTATACACTTCTAAAAAATCTTGTAGGTAGTTTCTTAATAATTTCACACAAGAGGACCTAGGACTAATGAAGTACCTATCTAATAGTATTCAATAAACTGTATGATAGGTAAATTTAGAAGTAAAAATATAATAATCACAACGGATACATATGCTGAAAAAGTCAAAGCAAAGTCGTATTGCTGTTTTGTTTTACTTTACAATGTGATGCTAGCATTATTCCCATAGAATGCAGTACCTATTCCTTTTCTTAGGAATTCATTCCTGATTATATGGTGGTGACTACATTGTATATGTTGTGTAAAGTGGGTGAACTTCTGGAAGGAAACAACCAGAGATAACACTAGAACTTAATGAGGTTCAGAAACTTGAGTTGAACCGTGGGTATCAATAATGGATCCTAATAACCTTTGCATATACCCCCCCCCCCTTTTTCTCTTTATGACTTTTAAAATTCCGAAAAGAAGGAGGGCATGGAAAAAGAATCTTCCTGCACTTACTGAATAGTGAAAACAACAGTAAAGATATCAGGGTCAGGAACCCATGATACATATATTTCAGTCTCTTATACTTGTTTGCCTATAGATCTTTGGCGTGATACACCAAGTGGTTTTGGAGGCAAACTTTGATTTAAACTCGTGCGAATGGGACATCTGAGTTTATTTAGGTATTTCTTTACCGGCCTTATTTTCTTTTAAGGTGTAAACATTTATTCTAGATTAACTTAAATAACAAGTGTTCAAGTTCTTTTTGGTAAAACAGAACGTATTTGACATCTGATGTTTTAATGTCAACATGTCAAACAAACGTAAATATTGTTTACAGTGAATATTTTGTTGTGCGTATTCGCTTAATAGTTATTATATTGGCCTTACAATTTCAATTATTAACCTAATTTTAACATGGAGCCAGCCAAATTCCATAGCTGGGCGAGCAAACAATGTTAACTTTAAAGTTGAACGGAATCAAAAATCTGCAACTTTTTGTTTAGGTCATACAATTTTCATTATACTTGTAATAAAATCCACCTTTTTAAGTGGCACTTATATAGAGTTGTCTAGAGTAAGAAATTAATCCTATATACTGAAAGAATCACCCTTTTCAGTATAAATAATATTTAATACTATACCAAGTTTACAAGAATACTTCTGTAAGGTTCTGTATTAGTAATATAGTCTAGACATTTCTTATGTTCTGCAAAATTAAGGAATATCATCAACATAATTTCGTGTAATCAATACTATACAATGTATAAGGTTACTCTTTGGGAAGACAAATAAGAACCGCAAATGTTTGTCATTCACCATTTTCCTTCACTGATATTAAATAAAATGCATTCTTAAGTTGATCATGCATCTGAAGACACTTCAACATATGAGGAGTTTTAGAAATGGTTCTAGATCCATTGTTTATATTAATAGTAACATAATTTATTATAGTCCTTAATTATTTAATTGCCTGAAGGACCATTTGTTCTGGAATGTGAAGATAAACTGGCAAGTAATCACTTAGTCAGTTATCTACATATATGGTACAGTACAGCACCTTAGCTTTAACAATTTTCCTTCAGAAGTAAAATTATTTTGCTTTTACACCTATGTGGGTATTTTGTGGTATATTTGTCTGAACAGGAATATCAGTGATGGTAATTTATACCTATTAATCCAACTAAGTATGGTTGGGAAACCTAAAGCAGAACTCTATTGTTCAGAAAGGTAATGTGATCTACCTGTACTAGCGATGATCCGGACCTCAGTGCTGTGGGTAGAATTAGAAATTCTGTAGAGGATGCATCGGCCTTGTTGATTTTCTTGTAATCATGTGTTCGCTTTAGTTTTGGTTTTTGCTCACACACACACACACACACACACACATATTGTTTGTACATCACACAGTGTTTGTTGATGTGGTTGGCATGAAGTTGGTAGTCTAAAAGGTTTTCTTGGATGTTCTCCAATTCAAGTTTAGACTCTCTGATAGCTTTACTTGCAATAAACTTGTCTTGAAGCACTATTTATTACTGTATATATAGCTAGAACACCTATTTGTGTTCTGATCTTCATTCAGGGGCACATGTTAATAATTTACAGAGCAGTCTGGCTGTATCCTTAAAATCTTTAATAGGTTTGTTAATTAATTTGCGAACAGTAACTGCTCCTAGAGTCATTTGATATTCACAATCCTATCGTCTCACTCAATCCCATCTTTATTTAGTGGCACCTCCTCCCCTCCTCATTTATTTGAGACATTGGGAGGAATTAGGTTATAATAATTATGAAAAGGGAAAATAAGTGTAATCATTTGATAAGAATGGCTTTGTCCAACATGCAACACTATGGAATAGCTGGCTAAGGAAATGTCCCATTTCCCATAAGCATAGGTAGCAATTGCTCCGGAGTATATTTACTGACTGGAGCGAGACTATAGGAGTAGTTTCCAACTCATGTTGATTGGCTTCGGTGCCATGCCATGGTGAGCGGCTTCAACTGGAATGGCTTCATGTTCTTCTGAGGCAAAGCGAACTGATTTTAAGTTTCTAACTGCAAGGTAGTTTAAATGATCCACGGCTAACCTCTCGTGAAAGCTCTAGGATTGCAGTTGGAAATGTTTGACTAAATGTGACTTAAACCCGTGGCTAACCTCTCGTGAAAGCTCTTGTGGTTTGCTTCAAAGTCAAGTAACCAACGGCTGACCTCTCGTGAAAGCTCTTGTGGTTCGTTCCAAAGTCAAGTAAACCAATGGCTAACCTCTCGTGAAAGCTCTTGTGGTTAATTCTATAGTAGAGTTACCAACGGCCAACCTCTCGTGAAGGCTCTTGTGGTTCGATCTACAGTAAACATGTAACCAACGGCCAACCTCTCGTGAAGGCTCTTGTGGTTCGATCTATAGTAAACATGTAACCAACGGCCAACCTCTCGTGAAGGCTCTTGTGGTTTAATCTATAGTAAACATGTAACCAACGGCCAACCTCTCGTGAAGGCTCTTGTGGTTTCGATCTATAGTAAACGTGTAACCAACGGCCGACCTCTCGTGAAGGCTCTTGTGGTTTAATCTAGGTATAT